CACCACAATATGTGCTTACGATGGAAGAGGGAACGACTCCGGAGGCACGAGGAACCACATACAAGCGGGAAAGGCAGCCAGATGGTGAGGCGACCACGATTGCCCATATATGAAGGTGTTTCGAGCCGATTAATGATCGCTGACATGTGGGAGGAAACGGAAGCACCTCGATGCGCAGGGGAAGGGAGTTTCACAACATTTGTGGGCGATCCACCAAGGCTTGCCTCCACAGTGTTGGACTCCTGGCATGTGCTCACGCTGCACGGCTTATATACAGACAAATATCATTCACATGCTGAGAAGCGACTGCTGAAAATCCTCGAAGAGGCATTGTCCAAATGTCATGCTGAATTGCCAAGTAAGGGGTGTATTTCCTGCATGTGTAAGTGACCTTGATGGCTGTCGCGGAACGCATGGGGTTAAAAAAAAGCATGTATATCGCTCAATCCCGTTAAAACATTCCACGTGCTACCTGTTCAGTGGCTGAGAAAGTCCACAATAACACGGTAGCAGTGCTTTCAGATTAAGCCACTGGAAAGTCAACTCGAACGCAAAACGTGATTTCACCACGACCAGATAAATTACTTTAATGTAATTTCATAGATTCTACTGGGAGAACACAAGGCCTTATTCATTTAGGCTTAACATTTCTCAGCCCTAATTACCGCCCTAACAGCTGTTGTTCTGGTATTCCCTAGGTTCTTATTCCCTTAATTATACAGTTATCTTTGTAAGTAAACGTTTGCGTATTGGAGTTTATTAATTTCAGCTCGTGCTGGTGATGGGCAAGGTGTATGAGTGAGTCATTGCGAATCAGAATCAGAATCTTTATTTATCCTGGAGAAATCTGATGAGCTGTGAAGCTCTTTTTCACAGATGTCCAGGAGGGGCTGGTCAAGAGAGTTACAACTATTAAAAAAACGATAAGAGTGCAAAGTATAGGAAAGGTAAGCAAATCACTATGAATAAATAAACAAAAACAAAAATTGTATCTTACCGGGTAAAGCCCACTGAGCTATTCGTTATTTTTCAGAAGCGACCTGGCCACAAACGACAACTCTACGAAGTGGCTTATCATCACGTGGAAATGTATAAGCAGCCAAAAATTCTAGACGCGTGTTGATTCTAAATGCGCAAATGAAAAAACCAGAGGCAGCTCAAGAAGTTACAACAAAACTAAACGCCTGCTTGGTATCTCGGCGACCGAAAGTGAACACGCCGCGAGTGCTCACGAGATGAACACAACGCCCATGAACACAACACTGATGAACACAACACCGATGAACACAACACCGATGAACACAACACCGATGAACACAACACTGATGACCACAACACCGATGAACACAACACCGATGAACACAACGCCGATGAACACAACGCCGATGAACACAACACCGATGAACACAACACCGATGAACACAACACTGATGAACACAACACCGATGAACACAACGCCGATGAACACAACACCGATGAACACAACACTGATGAACACAACGCCGATGAACACAACACTGATGAACACAACACCGATGAACACAACACCGATGAACACAACACTGATGAACACAACACCGATGAACACAACACTGATGAACACACCACTGATGAACACAACACCGATGAACACAACACTGATGAACACAACACTGATGAACACAACGCCGATGAACACAACACCGATGAACACAACACCGATGAACACAACACTGATGAACACAACACTGATGAACACAACGCCGATGAACACAACACCGATGAACACAACACTGATGAACACAACACCGATGAACACAACACCGATGAACACAACACTGATGAACACAACACCGATGACCACAACACTGATGAACACAACACCGATGAACACAACACCGATGAACACAACACTGATGAACACAACACCGATGAACACAACACTGATGAACACAACACCGATGAACACAACACTGATGAACACAACACCGATGAACACAACACTAATGAACACAACACTGATGAACACAACACCGATGAACACAACACTGATGAACACAACACCGATGAACACAACACTGATGAACACAACACTGATGAACACAACGCCGATGAACACAACACCGATGAACACAACACTGATGAACACAACACCGATGAACACAACACTGATGAACACAACACTGATGAACACAACACTGATGAACACAACACCGATGAACACAACGCCGATGAACACAACACTGATGAACACAACACCGATGAACACAACACTGATGAACACAACACCGATTAACACAACACTGATGAACACAACACCGATGAACACAACACTGATGAACACAGCACCGATGAACACAACACTTATCAACACAACACTGATGAACACAACACCGATGAACACAACGCCGATGAACACAACACCGATGAACACAACACTTATGAACACAACACTGATGAACACAACACCGATGAACACAACACCGATGAACACAACACTGATGAACACAACACCGATGAACACAACACCAATGAACACAACACCGATGAACACAACACCGATGAACACAACGCCGATGAACACAACACTGATGAACACAACGCCGATGAACACAACACTGATGAACACAACACTGATGAACACAACACCAATGAACACAACGCCGATGAACACAACACTGATGAACACAACACCGATGAACACAACACCGATGAACACAACACTGATGAACACAACACCGATGAACACAACACTTATGAACACAACGCCGATGAACACAACACCGATGAACACAACACCGATGAACACAACACTTATGAACACAACGCCGATGAACACAACACTGATGAACACAACACCGATGAACACAACGCCGATGAACACAACACCGATGAACACAACGCCGATGAACACAACACTGATGAACACAACACCAGTGAACACAACGCCGATGAACACAACACTTATGAACACAACGCCGATGAACACAACACCGATGAACACAACAGCGATGAACACAACACTTATGAACACAACGCCGATGAACACAACACTGATGAACACAACACCGATGAACACAACGCCGATGAACACAACACCGATGAACACAACGCCGATGAACACAACACTGATGAACACAACACCGATGAACACAACACCGATGAACACAACACTTATGAACACAACGCCGATGAACACAACACTGATGAACACAACACCGATTAACACAACACCGATGAACACAACACCGATGAACACAACACCGATGAACACAACACTGATGAACACAACACCGATTAACACAACACCGATGAACACAACACCGATGAACACAACACCGATGAACACAACACCGATGAACACAACACCGATTAACACAACACTGATGAATGCAACACCGATGAACACAACACCGATGAACACAACACTGATGAACACAACGCCGATGAACACAACACTGATGAACACAACACTGATGAACACAACACCCATGAACACAACACTGATGAACACAACACTGATGAACACAACGCCGATGAACACAACGCCGCTGAACACAACGCCGATGAACACAACACTGATGAACGCAACACCGTGGCTTGCGATGCATGAGTTCCAGCACAGAAGGGAATTAAACTTTGTGTTGCCCGAACTCTGTTGAGTTTCATTATCCCGTTAAAATTACCGCGATGCTTTGCATCAAACATATCTGGCTTCTGGAATGCAATTACAATTGTGCCACAATTTTAAAGAGAGATACGGACCAAAATAATTGGGGTTTTTGTTGTTGTTGTAGACATTTAACAAAGGCTGTGCATTCGGGGCTGTCTGGAATGACTGAAGCTTCATTATAAAATATTCAGTATATGAGATTATCTTTTAGCGGTGCTCTGCTAGTGATGTAAATGTAGAGGTGTAGTAAAGGGTATGATAGTCATGCCACAGGGACATTGATATAGCGCTCCAGCAGCGCATATAGAAGTATTTACATTTTTTTGTTACTCAATAATAAAGCTTTAAACTCTCTGTTTTTGGACAGGCTGGGATACATACAGTCAATAGCTATTATCAAGATAAGAGCTATTGACCTTTGGTTTGCATCTGAGTTATTACGCCAGGCCTAGTAACAACCATGATGTATCTGAAACACCCAAGGTCAGGCAGTGAATGGCTTCCTGTAAGGGGCAATGCAGTTGCTCAGTCATCTGTGAGTACTGTGCAGTAGTTTGAGTGTTTTTTTCCATATACTGTGCATGCAACTTCTCCAAACACTCCAGTTTCCTCCTACATAAAAAAAATACAACAACAAAAACCGGTCACCAAACTTCTCCTGGGAAAAAAAAAATTAAGTTTATTGAACTCTGTTGACAGTTGTATCCAAGTAGAGACCTTAAACAAAAAACTACCACTATGATTTTTGGGCAATGGTCCTGAGCCTACCATTCATCCACAGTCAATAAGACTGAATACGGTGTACCGTACTACTTTGTGGAGGTCAACAGTGGCCATTCAATGAAGCACCCGGCACAAATTATGGCAATCTGGAATTCGGGGATCGCCAACAGAGATAAGCCTCGCAACCATTCCTCAATTCCTTTTTTTACAACAGTTTTTTTTTTGCTTTGTCTCTTTCCACAATTGTGCAACATGCATCATGTTAAGACAAATCCATTTCCATTTGGAACTCTCAGAAAGCAGTAAATTGCCCTACATTAGAGAACAGCCTGTCGAGCACAACATTATTTTCCTCTCGTGCATTTTAGGCGATGCCTTTCATCCCAGGCCCAACTATTTATCATAGGGCCCATTATGGAACATTACAGGCAACCAAAAATGTCATCGTCATTGGTTGTGGAATTTGACAAATCAAGTGAAAACCCAAAACAATCGCGATGGATATATTTTTTTCAATAAGTGATCGGACTGAGACCATCAACACTTTAGAATATCAAGTCAAAATCACGGGAGTACTGTACCGTACTTATTTGAGACCAGCACATCCCTGGGATTTATCCTGTAGGCAGAGGCCAAGCGGAAGGTGGCCTGGGGCTGGTGAACAGGCGTCGTGGCGCCATCAAGCAGGCTAAGGTCAAGTTCGTGAAGGGCCACGCGTTCGTCACCACCTTCTTCCCACAGCCCACGTTCTGCTCCGTCTGCAAGGAGTTCGTCTGGTGCGTACGGGTCCCAGACCCACCCACTCCCTATCGCAAACCGAGCTAGGATCTACGGGGAATAATGATATTCGGCGAGCAATCGCAACAACAATAAAAACTCGTTGCCAGAATGGGGACCTGCTTGAATCTGCCGTTAATAGCTCGTTTGCTCGTTGTGCAATATTTCTAAAGGACCTCCCCCTCTCTCTCTGCTCGTTCTCGGCGATATTTACGTTTGCTTTATTGTTGCTGTGCTTACGCACAACCACGGATCTCGCCTTGTAAGATATCCGGGCAACTGGTGAAACTTAAATAAAATAAAACAAACGTAAATTGTGTGGAACTCGATTCACAGTTTGGAAAGTCACAAGTCTTAAAGGAAAATGGAGGATTACTCACCCCCATCATGCTTATGGGGGTCAATATATCTAGAACAACTTTTAGACTTTGCTTGTACTGGGAATACAAATTTTACACCACTGATGCAGGGCCATCAGTGGCGATCAGTAGCACCCAAACCTAGTTTGAGCATTTTGACCCCTTTTACGCCTGGTCAAATGTCACATATGTACTGTAGGTCTATGCGGGGATTGGTAATGTTAAGTTGTGCAATCAAATGTAATGCTGTCACCTCATGAACGCTGACGAGTTCAAATCCTCCAGCTGTGGACAGATCAGAGATGATGATTATATTTTGTTTTTAGGGGCTTGAACAAGCAAGGATTTCAGTGCAAGGGTAAGTAGAATATTTTTTTAAAGTTCTTTATAACAAATATCGACATTTTGTCCATTCGTTTTGTGTAAAGTGACTCTTTTTGAGTATCATTTATATACTTGAAATATTTAGAACCCACAATAAACAATGCCTCTTTTCAATGTGTAGCCTGGCCATAAATAATTCAAATGTACGATGAATAAAATAAAGCACCCCATTTATTGAGACATGAGCGATGCAGACATTAGGCTTGGTGATTTTTCTGGGGGGTCCTAACGTCAAAAGGCAATTTACAGCTCGCGGATAATGAGTGAATTCATAAGACGATGAATGAATGGAACAAAGCCAGCTATAATAGACCAACAACAGTGCTTGGATCCATATATGCAATGTATATGTAAATCTAATGGCACATGCGGGTTTAAATAAAATCAATAAATAAGACTTATTGCCCAGTGCTAATCCTGGATGAAAGCCTTTTCTACGTTTTTTTTTCTGATTGACTGCATGCCCAGTCACAATGTGCTATGCTATTATATTCTACTGTCTCACCTCTTCTTATTGTTGTCCCATAGCATTTCTATACATTCCACTACATTCACCTTTTCCAGAAACTTGTATTCCCCCCTGCTGCACATTTTTGCAACACACTACATAAATTACAATCTTGTTGGCAATTAATCTAGATTTAAAACAACAGCTATATAATAATCAGGGAAAAAAATCAGGTGGGGTTTGTGTTGAGGCGACGTGAGTCAACACTTTAACTCGTCAGCGATGATTTTTGTTATGCTTTAAAGTGACTGACGCTACGAAAGTGCTTCTGAAAGTCACAGTCACGCAAACCATTATATCTCTCTTGTGACGCCGTTGAATTGCAGTTGCACAGTGCGAATTAAGATGTATGGGAGTGATGTTGCACTTGACTGCAAAAATGGTAGCATGTGACCATAAATTGAAAGCCTTTTGTTTACACGTAAAAAACAAACCTGCAAACCTCTGTCACATAGTTTATTAAAGGTAACTACCTAGGTAGGAACTGGGTGCATGCATGTTGAACTCATTTCGCACCGCACGCAGCCAACCGTGCTAATCGGAGGTTCGGAATCATGGTAGACAAGAGTCAGCTGAATGGAGAGTCCCTGTGAAGCAGTGTGACCCTGCCTGCAGAGTGCAACGCGTCGAGTCACAAGCGGTGCGTGGACAACGTACTGGCCCGGTGCACGGGGTCTGCGGACACCAACAGGCAGACGGAGGTGACAGCTTCTTCCGCATTAAACGCACGCCACTCTTACCCCTCTTTTCCGCTGGCGTATCCGAGCCGAGCCAGCAAGAGGGTTTTTTTTTTGCGACACGGATGGCTTTCCCCAACGTCTGCTTGTCAAGCCGATGCCGGGACCGAGCCTCTTTCCGATGGCCTCACGGGATGTCTGAAATCTGGCTCGGGTCTTAGCAGGGCCAAGGGTGAGGCTAATGACATTGTCATTGCTGGTGGCGTCTTCAGCGCAGCTCAGAACCAATGGCAGACCGCGCCGTCGGCATGCATTCGACTCGCTAATTGCGTGTGACGTCAGCACACGGCTCGGGTTCTGCTTTGGAAAAATAGCATGGCGCTTCTTGAGCCTCACTGGGCTGGCTGAGCATGGGCCTCGGTATGCCTCGGTGTACAGTGGAAAAGAGGAACCAGTTCCCTTGTCTATTCAAATGGAGCCCCCTGTTAAACATCTCCCCTCTTCTATACCTTGGTGCTTGGGCCCCCACAATCCGTGTGTCTCGGAACGGTTCCACCACGGAATTACTCAATAGCCGCGTCCTGGGTGTGTTCTGGAATCTAGATGGGAACGGTGGTTGGACCTCGCAACTCATAATTTGGAGGTTGGAAGTTCAAATCTAATTAAGGAGTTAATTTAATCAATTGGGGCCATTTAAATGATCACCACTTAGTCGGAAATCGACTAAAGTAGTATTTTGGAATTACTCACCCATGCCATATAAATGTGGAATTACTAACACTGACTCAGAGTTGTAAATGGAAGTGCCTTTCAATGCAATTTTATTGTCATTTTTAAAAAAAATGTTTCGAAGTAAAAAAAATCTATCAAATTATAAGCGGTTCGATGGCCTAACAAGTGTTGGTTAGTGCTTTTCTCTGTTTGTATGCTCAACTTCTTCCATGCTCTACGTAGCCAACCGCGCTAATCAAAGGTGACAGTGGTCAGGTCACTTCTGGAAAAGAGCTATATAGCTCAGTGGGTCTCACCTGGTAAAATAACAAAAATACAAATAGTTTGAGCTTTTTTTTGCTTTTTCGCTTAGCATGACTCGCTCCGGGGATGTGTCGCCGCAGATCGTGCGGGAGAGCTTCAACCTGCACATGTCACACTCCTTCAAGGTGCACAGCTACCGCAGCCCCACCTTCTGCGACCACTGCGGGACGCTGCTGTGGGGCTTCGCCAGGCAGGGCCTGCAATGCGAAGGTGCCGCCGTGCACAGGAGAAATAGGACGCGTTCACTTTGTTGCAGAGATCCGCCGTTCGAACTGCCCCCCCACCCCCCCCCCGGCGGCTGCCCTGGTTAATACTGCAGGCGTAGCAACTGTAAAATGCGTCGTTCGCTTCACAGCGGACGTTAGATATCCTGCGACGTCATTCGAAAACAGTCGGCCGTCGTGTGCCGGCGTCATGGTGCAATTTCTTTTATTTGAAAACATCTACAAATTATCATGGGACCTCCTTTGCCAGTACCAAAATATAAGAATAGGTTTTACCCTTTTTTCTGGCAACAAAACTGGTGTTAAGATGTTAAAACACCAAAATGAAACCTTTTCCAAGGAATCGTGTCCGCATTAACCACAATAATTGTGGTCAGAATGCAAACAAAAAAACAAACTCTGATAATATTTGCATTGTCTTTGAAACTGATTGGTCGACACCAGAGACAGCTTTCTTTTGAGCCTAGTCTCAAACGGTGTTAGACCAGTGGACGCCAAAAGGCGTACAGAGAGGCGTACAGCTGTCTCTAGTGTGGACCAATCAGTTTCAATCAGACAATGTATATATTATCAGAGTATGTTTTTTGTTTGCATTCTGACCACAAGTATTGTGGTTAATGCAGACACGGTTCTTTGTAAAAGGTTTCAGTTTGGTGTTTTAACATCTTAACACAGCTGTTTTGTTGCCAGAAAAAAAGGTGAAAACCTATTCTCATCTACAAATTACTCCATCAGGGATAACGCACTTCACCCCCCGACTGTGACAGACTATGTCTGTGAAACATAGCGCCCACTCGATAACTTCCGCGCTATTTAGAACGGCGCTAATACCAAAGGTCTGAATTGTAAATGTCATCGTCTGCCACGGCGAGACCGCGATCCTGCGGTAGAATGACCGTCTTGCGCCGGGCGTGCCACCCCCACAGCCTGCGACGCGAACGTGCACCACAAGTGCAAGGGGAAGGTGGCCAACCTGTGTGGCATCTCCACCGAACGACTGGCCGAGCTGCTGCGCCAGGTGGAGGGAGGCCAGGTGAGCTGTGTGGGTAGACGAAGGGGCGGGGCGAGGCATACTCTCACGCAGCCTCCCAGAGTTTGCTGTGAAAGAGAAATAGACACGTGAGGAATTGGCATGGCAGCACTCGACTACTGTGTACTATAATTTACCAATTGTGAGTTGAGCAGTCCATCTAAAGTGCCATCCGGCCAGATATTTATGTAGATTGTATATCGGTGGAAACACAAAGATCTCCCTTATGCCATTTAACAGTCTTGGGGCAAGTGCCGTTAGCGAGCACCTTTGAAGGTCCATATGGCACATGAGGGGATGTGTGGCCAACACCACATCTGGCTGCCTTCATCTCCCCAGTGCTGATGTTTGCACACTGCACCAGGGATGGGGAGTCGACCTCGAATTGAAAACGAATTTCTTTAGAACTGCTTTTTTTGTGGTTTGTTCGTTGTCCTTCCCCCCGCACCTCTAATTAGCACGGTTAGCTACGTACGGTGCAAAATAAATTCAACATACATACATCCAGAAGCGGTTCAGTTATTCTCCACTTTGATCGGTTGTGAGTGGAAATTGAACTTGGGTCATCAAGAACGTAGTGAAGTGCGCCAACCGACGCTCTACCGCTCCCGACTGATTTAAATGCATATGCGTAGATTACGTACATATGCACGCACGCGCAAAGCGGACAAACTAGACATCATGGACCAACTGCGCGATGCCGTCTGAATGCAGAAGGAAAAAGGTGCACCAGGAGCGGAGAGGCCTGTCGAGTCACAGCCACCCAGCTTCAACCCCAACAATGCAGGTGGCAGTCGCAAAGCAACACGATCAGTGATGTACGTGCGTGTGTATGCATGTTTGTAAAATGTGTGCATGATGTTTTATTTGTATGTATGACAGTATTATATATTAGGCATTGAGCTCATGTGTTTGCGTATATGCTAATATAACGGATCATGCTGTTGAGACTGGCCCTTGTCATGGGAATATGAAATTCCCATCAGGGCCACCAATGGAGATGAGCACTACTCCATTGTTTATTTGATCAAAGAGATGCATTGATTTAAACTTACGTTTATATGTATATGTACGCACGTGTATATGTTCATGCATAATGAAATGTCTTCATCCATTGCCCTTCCTGCTCAAAAGAATTCCCGGTACAATTTTTTTGTTTTTTTAAACGTTCAAACTGAACTGGTCTCCAGGACTCGGTGAGTCCTTGATGCCAGAGCCCTGAGCCTGCACGGTGGAGATTGCAGGTTGCAGCATTGTGTTCGCGCCTGCCGTCTCTTTTGATGCCTTTGCTGAAATGAAAAGTTGAGAAGGTGGAGGTGGCATGGGAAGCCCCAGCACTGGATGAAGCAAAGGGACATCTGACGCCACCACAACCGGCACCGCCCCAGTCAGTGCCTGACGAGTCGACACGGCCGAGCGGAGAGATTGCCGGGAAGTTATCTCTCGACCACTTCCACCTCCTCAAAGTGCTCGGCAAAGGCAGCTTCGGAAAGGCAAGACCAATGGCACGCACAGGGCATCGCCAACACGGAACATTGCTGACGCAGTTGCACCGACGCAGACATTGCAGAGGCTGTAGTTGGATCGACTTAACGAATCATCGCTAAGGGGTTGTTCAAGGGAGTTAGCCCCTTAAGGGAACTCAACAGTGGTTGTGGCACAGATAGACGAGCCCATGCTTAAGGAAAATGTCATTTTCATCCAATGAGTGTTTTGACTTTGCCTCCGTAATTTTGTATCGAGGATTAAACAAGTGAGTTACAATGCTCAGGAGGGACCTGTTTAGGAGGTTTAACCAATTTCCTGCCTTTACAGTACATGGAATGCTACAAAAATAACAATTTCTGCGAACCCTTAAACGTAAAAAATAAAACATTTTTAACAGCAAAAACGAGACGGGTGTCACGAAGAGACAGCATGAGACAGGATGGAACTCACATCACGCCATGCCTAATAATCCCACATTTATATGTGTGTTATAGCGCTCAATATGAACTACGAGTTAAAATAATACTTCTCACTTTATGGGCGATGTACAAAGGACTTAATGCATCCCAATAGGCTTCATTAAAGGTAGACATTAAACAATGTTTATTCCCCCATGGTAACCCCCAATCATCCCTGGGATATGATTGGATGACAGTGAGAGTTATAATCAAGTCTCAATTATGTGTTGTCTTATTCGCCCTGTCTCTTCTGTTTCCTGTGTCGCGTCTTTGTGCGTGTTGTGCTTCATGCTGTTGGCCGAACTGTACCTTTGTGTAAAATTGTCACGAATCGTAAAAATGATGAATGCTTGCATTCACACATTCAATGCATGTATCGCAAGCGTAATTATAACAGACTTAGCCATACTCTTTGGTTCTTTTGGTAAAGTCACGTAGGTATGAAATAAAATCAATCACGACGTTTCGGGTGCAACACAAGCGTCCGTCATCAGGTGGGAAAGCCCGAAACGTCGTGATTTATTTTATTTTTTATAGCTACGTGACTTTACCGAAAGAACCAAAGAGTATGGATCCCTGCAGTTACGAAAGCTTCAAATCTAGATTTAGTCATATTATTGCACGTCGGGAGGATGTCAATCGGTGCAATGTGCAGGTCTTTGTGATAGCCTTCTGCTAAAATAATGGTGCAAATACCAAGTGCTACTGCAATATGAACTGCATTATTGTGACTGAATTATCGTAGGTGATGCTGGCGGAGCTGAAGGAGCAGGGGAAGTTTTTTGCCATCAAGGCGCTCAAGAAGGAGGTGGTCCTCATGGGCGATGACGTGGAATGTACCATGGTGGAGAAACGGGTGCTCCTGATGGCCTGCGAGCACCCCTTCCTGACCCACCTCTGTGGTACATTCCAAACCAAGGTGCTCAAGGACCGGTCACTCTTTGCGTGACCACAGACACACACAGACACACACAGACAAACAAAGATAAAGATCCCCCATATAGCCTTAACAGACTGTAGGGGCAAGTGCTGTTAGCGAGCACCTATGAAGGCCGGAACGGTACACGAGGGGGTGGGTGGCCAGCACCACGCCCGACCGCCTTTGTCTCCCTAGTGGCGATGTTTACACACCGCACCAGGTACTCATTTGAGGCTGAGTCGACCTAGGGGAGGCCCGGGACCGGTTCAGATAATCGTCACTGGTGTTGGCCGTGAGCGGGAATCGAACCCGGGTCGCCAGGATCATAGCGCAGCGCGCTAACCACTACACTATCGCTCCCCACACACAGACACACACATACAGACACACACATACACACAGGCACACACAGGCACACACACACACAAGACACACAATCACACAGACACACACATACACACAGGCACACACAGACACACACAGGCACACACACAGACACACACAGGCACACACAGTCACACACAGGCACACACACGCAGACACACAGAGACACACACAGTCACACAGACACACACATACAGACACACACATACACGCAGGCACACACAGGCACACACACACAGTCACACACAGGCACACACACAGTCACACACAGGCACACACACACAGTCACACACAGGCACACACACACAGTCACACACAGGCACACACACGCAGTCACACACAGGCACACACACAGACACACACAGGCACACACAGTCACGCACAGCGAACGACAATTATTGTATCTCAGGGGAGCCTCACTGGGTCTCTCTGGCGAATACCACGACTGAGTGCTTGGCACCTGCAACGAAATCAGAGCGGCTGGAGTAAGCACAGGCACACGAAGGGTGACACTCAACACTGTCATCTCCTGGTCACCTCTCAGCCCTGCGTCTACAATTGTAGGAGAGTCCTGGTGCTAACGCATCCAAGCGCTAACCAGGCATCGAGTAGTGCATGACCTGCCCGTTTCTGGAAATCTGTGAAAAAGATCTTCATAGCTCATCGGATTCCTCCAGTATAAATAATTATCATGTTTCTCATTCTGAACTCAAAGCACTGTTTATCTAGGTTGACCTGGATGAGTCTCCAGACTCTTATTCAAGAGAATCCTCCATTAGGTTGTATGACTGTTTCCTTAATATTTTCACATGGAAGGAAAGCAGTGGATGGAGAGAGCCCATGCATATAAGGAGATTAAACAACAACAACAAAGACCTGTACAAATAGGTAAACAACCTACTCGCTATACTGCAATGTACGTGTCACCTTGAATCGCTGTGGGAGGGTGTTCACACAGTGACATGCGAATGGGTCGTCGTGAAGCGTTGGAAGAGAGGCGTGCACCACTGCACTCGGCAATTGAACCGCAGTGGCTTTTACACCTCATGGTGGCATGCGACCTCCCATTATGTCTTTTACCCAGTTAAGTGTTGAGTATTACTGAGACGGTTACGAGTCAAAATCCTTGTCAAAGGTCAAATCGCTGTCATCGTTAAAAACAAACTCACATTAGTCAATAACACTATGCCCTTAAAATAAATACAAATATAAAAGGCGACGTTTTGGGCCATGACTATAATCGTACGTAACTTGAGCGTCCAGAGAGTCAAAGTGAATACGTTTATTATTTTTAATTAAAAGTCGTGTTTATTAACAAATGTGTTGACCTTTTTGCTTGTTAATTGTGCTGGTGCACCACTGCGAACGCAGCAGCAGCATCGCCACATAATTTGTCATCGTTATAGGAGTTGTTAAAATTGATACCACTTTGTTGGGAGTCACCGGTGACCATTCTACAAGAAAATAATCCCCTGGACAGGGGAATATGGAATTCCCACCGCTGCCTTAAGGCCACTAAAAGATTAGTGCTACCCATTTAAGTCTTTGAGCATGGAAACATCACGTCTTGAACTTGCATATAAATCGTCACAGTCTCGCTTGCCAACCAATCTGGAGAAACCCCAAAACGATTCACCCAGTTAGTTCAGCTTTTAGCTTGCAGCGCCCGTTTCAAAATTGCCACGTGGCTAACAAATGTTGGAAACATGCCTGTCCCGGTGTCTTCAGGAGCACTTGTTTTTCGTCATGGAGTTCCTCACTGGCGGTGACCTCATGTTCCACATCCAGGACAAAGGAAAGTTTGACCTGCCGACAGGAACGTGAGTGAGAAAAGCATTGCCAGGGCAGCACAAGGCCACATGCACACACAACACCACTGAGCTCCTTCAAGCAATCCTTGATCCTACACAAACCAAGTAACACGCACACACGTCTGGTAATTTCTGTGTGTAAATAATGATTGTCAAGTAAAGTAAAAAATCCTGCTCAGATGTTTTATATTAAAAAAAAACTAAACTGAATTATTTAAACGTTTATTTTTTACCAGGTAAAACCCACTGAGCTATTCAAACTTTTTCAGAAGCGATCTGACCACAAATGATAGCTGAACGAACTGGCTTATCAAGTGGATATATATAGCCGCCAAAGACTCTGAATGCATGTTTTATAAACATGGAGGGGAACTGGAGAACCCGGAGAAAAATCCACCCGACCACGGGGAGAACACGCACACTCCAAATATACAGCTGGTGTCAGTGTCGGGATCGAACGCACGACCTCCTGCACACCGGGCGAGGGAGATAACATCTCCAAGCCACCACAACCCTCAGTGCCCACCTCTGTTGGTGGCCCTCAGCCAGGGGCAACAATTCCACATTGTCACGGCAAGACCAGGCCTGCCACAGGACGATCACTTTTTGACTTCCCATGGCGACTCCAGCATGACTTTAATTCCACCGACGTATCTGTCGAGTGTGTCGAGCCTGTGCTACGCCACTGGGGCCCACAGGCCAGAAGGGCCCACGCGCCAGGCTACTAAGATGACGAAAATTGGACAGGAGGCCTCGTGTCATTCTTTGCACCAAGGTCCGCGCCAACGATGCTAAGCTACTGGTCGATTAAATAGACATCAAGGAATACATTGCATTGTTTGCACGAGTGAGCCATGTCTAAGCTCAAACCGCAAACGTTTAATTATTGGCACTAAATAAAAAAAAGGACTGTATCTGAAATAATACAATACATTCATCAAAGCCTCACTTGCAAAGCAATTGACATCTCTCACTTGGCTATATAATGAACACTGATTGAACGGAGGAAAGACGGCAGTTTAAAGTCACGCTGACATGGGACTATGTTATTTCAACTTGAGCACGTGCTTGTTGTGAGTCACCGACGCCACATGCGTTCATTTGTGTGGGAAACGGTGGCGCAGCGGTGAGCGCACTGCACCGTGAACCCGGCAACCCGGGTTCGATTCTCGCTCACGGCCGACACAAGTGACAATTATCCGAACCGGTCCTGTACCTCCCCTAGGTCTACTCAGTCTCAAATGAGTACCTGGTTCGGTGTGTAGTGAACATCGCCACTGGGGAGACAAAGGCGGCCGGGCGTGGTGCTGGCCACCCATCCTCCCCCGTGTGCCGTGCCGGCCTTCATACTGTAGGTGCTACTCGCTAAACAGCACTTGTCCCAAAACGATGTTAAGGCTATACGGGAGATCTTTGTTTTGTGTTTCATTAACAGATTCTACGCGGCAGAGGTGATATGTGGCCTGCAGTTTCTTCATTCACACAACATCATCTACAGGTAACGATGCAGCTGGTGTATTTGAGAGGTTTCGCTCTATCTTGATTCGTGATTGTCCCGAAGGGCTGTGGTTTGATACAAAAAATACAATACATTTGGATTAATGTTGCATTTAAATGCAAGAGCTTGTGTATGCTATGTCTCTGAAATTTCTGTACACATTCGAACCATGTTGTAAAAAAATATGGTGAAATATCGATATCAAGAGCTGTCCATAGGCCAGGGGGTCACATCTGGATCACTTCTTCTTTCGTACGGCTGCTGATGTAGATGCAGAGCAACAACTGCAATTTCACATGCAGGTGATCAAGCCAGATAACCGCATCAGGAGCAGCGGAGTGGAATATCTCTGTGACGTCTCCTTCGTATTTGTGGATCGGGCCATTGCGTCGTTATATGTTGTGCAGTCTCCATTCTGGATGACCACAGTCGCACTCTGTTTAGGTTTTAATTTTCCAATCGTGCATCAGGTACCCTCACTGCCACGGTTGGTGTGGAGCACTACAATTCTAATACAGCTTATGGAGATTCACAAATACCAATTTATCTGCAGTCAAAGTCAGTGCTCTGAGTGACCACCTATTAAGGCCTCTCGATATTTGATGTTCACATACCACACAAAGGTAAACAGCTTAGGCAGAGTCGACCTAGGAAAATCTAAGCCAGGATCGGATATCAACTTCCACACTGGTGTGAGACATGGCTTCAAAATGTAACCTAGGTCATTGGTATTGTAGTGTGCTAATAATTATACTACCGTGTGACTCAAAAAAGGAAAACACAGCAAATTGTCTCCCTGTTCAAAACAAGCGATGAGGTAGCACTCGTCTTCATTGATTGCCTTGAGCCAGTTGTGGAAATTCTACAATCCCATGACAGGGGCCAGTCTCTGCGTACGATAACCCCCAGCTGACATTCCAAAAAAGTGGTAGGCATTTTTTGACCCTGAAGTCGACTACGGGCTGAGTAATCTCTGAGCTGGATATCAACTTGCAGTCTTTCAACTGTAAGTCAAACACTTGACCCAAAACATTTCTTGCCCAAGCAGTTTACTATTTACCCTTTATAAACACATACACGTGACTACTACAGCTGTCATTCTCCACCAGATGATGGCGACATCACCAGGGTGCTTGTGCCAGTCTAGGTACACTGTGAGGCGGAATCAAGTGGTGAAGCCTGGCTGTCAAGAACTTACGGGATATACTCACATGTTATGGATTAAGAGCCTAGAGTGTGCATACACATACACACACACACGTGCATACTACATGGTAAATGCGCATATACCATTGCCAGTTGCGCAAGTGCCAACATTGACTTCCAAGAACAAACTTGTGCCTTGGTACACGGCAGCTTCACTCTGCATCCCTCTCTCACCATCTAGAGACCTGAAGCTGGACAATGTGCTGCTGGATAGGGAGGGGCACGTGAAGATCGCCGATTTCGGAATGTGCAAGGAGCACGTTGGCGCAGGAAACCTCGCCACCACGTTCTGCGGCACCCCGGACTACATCGCACCCGAGGTGGCGTTCGCGAGGCTGCCACCCGCGGGCTCTTGAGCGTGAAGCGCCGAGGCAACATAGTTTCGCTGTCCTCCGTCCTCCGTTTTGCTTTCCCCGCACCTGCGATTATTAGCGTGGTTGGCCACGTGCGGTGCGAAAGCAGTTCAACGTGCTTAACGTGCGTACGATGTGGGGGAGCGAGCCGGTGGTTGAGAGCGCGGTCTTGTGACGACGGGTTGGTCGATCGCACGCATGTTTCGGAGCTCCATTCGTTTCGTGGATGTTGAGGCGTCAGAACCCCCCTGGCTTTGCAGGAGAAGGGAGTGCAAAAAGAAAAGATGTGGACTCCATCTGTTCTGTCGGGGATATAGAGTGTCCCCCCTTTGCACACGCGGGAATTCTTCGAGTGCTCCAGTTTCCTCCCGCATATAAACGCTCATGAATTGGCCGATAACACCGTCACATATAGTGGACGGCGGAGCTTGGGCAATTGTTTTTTTTGTGCCAGCGCATCACATGACTGCCTTCCTGCGTGTCTGTCGTTCCCCCCGGAGTCGTTCTGTCTCTATGATAGTGAGCGAACACTGCGCGCATTGCGAGTTAAAATTGTATTCGGCCGTGTTCACGTGGCGTTTTTGATCTATTTATTCGAAAACATATTTTGTTGAGATTATAAGTCAATAGAATAAATAACTTCGAAACATTAACATTATCAAACTTGATTTGGAGCTTTCGTAACTGCAGGAATTACTCTTTGGTTCTTTCGGTAAAGTCACGTAGAAAGAGAAAATAAATTAAATAATAGCACACGACGTTTCGATTGCAACACAAGCACCCTACCTGCTTGTAATCAACCAGGGAGGGTGTTGACTGTTATGTAAGCCGACTCTCTTGGTTGCATTGCATTATATTTCTAAGTTGACTAGGTTTGTTCTCTCTTTCATTTGTACCTGATGATGATTGCTTGTGTTGCAATCGAAACGTCGTGTGCTATTATTTATTTCTTTCTACGTGACTTTACCGAAAGAACCAAAGAGTATTTATCGTGTCGAAATTGTCTCTTACCGTAGCAAGCCACTGCCTGCGTTCTTTGCAAGGGAGCCTTGACAACCCAGGAGTGTACGCCGAGCAAGGAAGCTATGCAGGATGGGGCTTGGGACGTTACTCCCCCTTATTCTTGGGGTCTTCCATAAGCTGCTTGAGTTTGGCTGATGGGAGCCTTTAGTATTTACACTGAATCGTAATAAATCCTGAACATGACCTGGTGTGACTTTAGCAACTTCCAGCGACCCATAGTTCTTAAATGCACTTTGGGAAGGTATTATAAATTCTAAAACTGATTAACATGTAGTAGGCTAATATTGTAAAAAAAACTGTCTACGTGAGACAGAACAAACCAGAACGAGACGAATGAATGAAGAAAAAAAAGAAATACTTTATAACAGAATAATACTCCATACGATTGTAACCCTGAAATGTGAGAATCAAATCGCTGGTGATGTGAGCCATGGGGATTGTTGACTGAGGAGTGAGGTTGGTGATGTGGAAGTTGTGATGTGGTGGCAACCACGTTGGGTACAATGTGGCTAATTTTGCAACGAAAAGAGTCTCGTCATTTTCGCCATTGCATAATATGGCGAAGAAATGTATCGAGATTTTTTTTTTAATGACACGTGCTTGCGATTTTTATTGAAGATACGAGCTTCTAATGAATAAAAATCTTAAACTTGTAGATCATGTGTGAATTAAAACTATAGGGATTATAATATATACAGTACATATATATCTCCCTGCATGAGAAACTAAGAACTTAAACTGTCCCTATACTCAAAATAATGAACCAGTGGTGTAAACTCAACATTCAAATTGCAGGGCTGCTGACTTTCCGCGAAGTGGAGCACATTTTACTGACCCAAGAATGATGAATTAGCTTGACCCCCGAACGGATGGAAACTTTCTTAATGTGCATCGGCCGTTTTAGCCAGAATACCAGCTGTTCGGAAAGCACTCGTACTGGACAAACCCAACCGGGTTGTGTACGGCCGTTTTCGTGGTTGTGCTGTTACAGCTCTCCCCCGGGTTTTTCTTTGGGTTATACCGCGTGCCGTTTGACCTCGCTGAAGTGACGGAATTCAAATTCAGGTCCTGAAAAAAAAAAACTCCTGCACACTTTGGAGTAAAACGTCGTACACGGTGCCAGATTATCCAAGTAGCAAAAGTAGCTACACGTGTAGTAGCTACTACTACATGTGTAGTAGCTACAGGCCACGCACTTTCAAGCGCCCCGCGCCAAATCCTTTCAAGCTATCAATTCCGGTCCAGTGATTCTGCACTTGCTCTGTTACTATAGTACTATACTGCCTTCAACTTTTATGAACGACTGAGTGTTTAAGGTTAGCGATTTGTCGTATTACCTGGCTGTATAACAAATGAAAAAATACAATTACTTTACTATGCAAGTTAAATATTTATGTGTTTTATTTTTTTTATTCATGGCCCCTTTATAGCATATGTCACAGGCCCCGCACTAGCTTAATCCGGCACTGGTCTTAGTTCAAACACTTCGGAGAGCTAAACCCAATGCTGCTTTTCCCCCCCCCACCCTCTCCACCGCCTGTGACATGTGACGGGACAGCCAGGCTTTGGTGGTTAACTCACCGTCTCCACTCCCGTGCCTCCCATAGATTTTGCTGGGGAGGGCGTACGGCACGTCGGTCGACTGGTGGTCCATGGGCGTGCTGATCTACGAGATGCTCATCGGGCAGTCTCCGTTCTACGGCTCCGACGAGGACGAGCTGTTCGAAGCCATCAAGGGCCACACGCCGCACTATCCACGCTGGCTCTCCGACTCCTCACGCAACATCCTCAGCTGTGTACGCTCCCTCCACGGCATTAGCAACGCAATCACCGAATTTAAATTGCCTATATATTTTTTTGTTTGTTATATAGCACCGCTTTTTCAGAGGCGCCTTGGACGCACATGATAGCTCAACGAAGTGGCTGAACATGTGGACATTTCCAGCAGCTGAATTCTGTAAACGCAAGTTTCTAAGTGTGAAAGGAAAAATCGGAGGACCCGGATAAAAAAAAACACGTGACCACGGGGAGAGAGACTCCAAATATAGAGGCGTCAGGGTCGAACTCACGACCTCCTGTACACGAGGCGAGGTAGTTAACATCTCGCCACCGTGGTGCCCATTAATGGGAACTTTTACTCACTTTTGGTTTTGAAAGCCATCTCTTTTTTCGAGTTATATTTCAATTGCGCTTGTCAGTCATGTCATGAGACGAATCCACTTACGTTTGGATTTCTCACAGAAAGTAGTACGACTACTCCTTAGTAGAATAACAGCCGATGGGAGGTGATATCAGAACGAATTCTGAGATCCCTTCAGTGGCATCTTGTGCACACTAGATGCTGCGACTTCTCACAAGGCCTCCTTTGGAGGTATTTGCCACTTCAGTCAAACCAATTTTCTAATTTTTTTAATCCTCAAAACCGAAAATATTCTGAATTAAGGTAAAATCAAATTTAGTTTACCTTTTCTCTTAGTAACTCGGCAAAGATCATTAACTTCCTACACGAGAGAAACCTGTTTATTGATGCGTTGCTATCTGGAAGAAAAAAATACGGGTGCTATAGACTGCGTTGTGGGTAACAGATGGCAGTGTAGCGATATCCATTGTCTATGCTCTCTGTTTTCACCAACCGGCATAGTGGAAGTGTCATGGGGGTATAGCGGGGTAACCTCAATGACCCACACGGCATGGGGAGGTGCTCATGAAGCACTCCACTGACAAAAGGCCAGGCGTGCAAATGCTAAATGGATTTGAACCCAGAGTTACTGCACCGCTGACTCAGTGCTCTGACATCAGAATACTTGGCTAATTTAATGTTTTTCGTTTTTAAGCCTGATGCTTATTCCACCCTCAGCTGTTTGAGCGAGACCATACCAAGCGGCTGGGGGCTGTAGGGGACATTCGCCTGCACCCCTTCTTCAAGAACATAGACTGGCCCAGCCTTGAAGCGCGGAAAATAACCCCCCCGTTCAAGCCCAAAGTGGTGAGTGCTTGTATTCACCGTCACAAGCCTGGTAATACATGGACTGCATCCACAAAGATCCCCCCCTTCAGTCTTAAACATTTGGAGCAAGTGCTGTTAGAGAGTACCTATGAAGGCCAGCACGGTACATGAGGGCGTGAGTGGCCAGCACCGCGCCTGACCGCCTTTGTCTCCCCAGTGGTGATGTTTATATACAGCACCAGGTATTCATTTGAGGCTGAGTTGACCTCGGGGAGGCCCATCACTGGTGTTTGGCCATGAGTGGGATTCGAACTTGGGTCACCGGGTTTGTAGCGCTGTTTTCTAACAGCTACACGCGCGCATCCACACACACAGACATCCACACACACAGACATCCACACATACAGACATCCACACACACAGACTTCCCCGTGTGCACAATCTCAAATCCATGTTTTAATGTATTTTATTTGACCAGGTCCCCACTGGACATGTGAACCACTGAGCGGTTGATTAGACCAATGGCCAGTTTATAAACGGATTGTTCATCAGACCGCTGACCAGTTGTTTTATTCGAGAGGGCAAGTGATCATCCTCATTATGCCATGGGACATTTTTTTTTACCAGTGTGAAAGTATGAAACATATGGATGGGTTTGACCCTTTTTGGCAATACAACAAGGAATCAAATCTGCATTAGCCAAACGTACTTGTGGTGAACATGCAAATATCTTCTGATTGGCCTATACCACAGACAGCCTTCTTTATGGCCTAATCTCACCAGTGTCAGACTAGAGAACGCCAAAAGGCGACTTGATTCCTTGGTATTTGAACATCTTAACACCTATTCTTAGTTTTTTCGGTAAAGTCACGTTGAAGAGAAACAACAAAATAACAAAACATATATAAAACAATAAAAAATTCTCACGACGTTTCGACCATAACTCAAACGGTCATCATCAGTTATGGTCGAAACGTCGTGAGAATTTTTTATTGTTTTATATATGTTTTGTTATTTTGTTGTTTCTCTTCAACGTGACTTTACCGAAAAAACTAAGAATATGAATTACTGCAGTCACGAAAGCTTTAAATCAAAATCTTAACACCTGTTGTATCGCCAGAAGGGGTAAAACCAATCCTCATTGTGTCATCTGTACGTGTCTCCAATGTGAGCCACCTAACTTGAGCGAAGACACGTGTATGATTTTTATGATGTATTTAAGACCCTGAGCAGGTGGAGGGCTTCACTATTCTGATGAATTGCCCGATTATGCTGGATGTAATTACCAGCGAAACGTCGTACTCAAACGGTAATTGTTGTGGATTCACTCTTCAACACACCGGTGGGGCTAAAGTAGTGAACTAATTGTCTTTTGTCAACGTGACACATTTTTTACTGATTGGCCGTGTCGGCTGGTGGAGGGTTGCGACACATTTATAAATAACGCGATCGAACCCAAAAACCTTTCTTATGAATAATATTGGTCGCGAAAGCCTGCCCACGTGTTAAACTGACACGGGTATGAGATCCAAAAAACGATCAAACTAAACGCAACCTGTCGGCGACTCCCGAGTGCGGCGGCGAAAAAAACGTCGCGGCCGCCTATGGAAGTGTCTGCCTTGTCACGCGTGTTGGATTTTAATTTTTTTGTTTCTCTCGGGTTTTCCCTCGGGGAGCAGACGTCTCCCAGTGACTGCAGGAACTTCGGCCACGAGTTCCTGAGCGAGTCGCCGCAGGTCTCGTGCCGAGGCAGCAGCAACCGCATGGTCATGTCCATCGAGCAAACCATGTTCGCCGGATTCTCCTTCGTGAACCCTTCCATCCGGATGCTCCTCCAGTGAGATCCGCACTCGGCGATCCCCGGTGCTGGTGCTTGCCCAGCAGGGGGGGGGGGGGGGGGGTGCATGGTGAATTTAATTTTAGAGTCCTCCCCTCCCACCCCCCCCCCCTCCCCATTTGATTTTTAAAGTCCCAGTGAGTTGATAGGCGACATATAAACAAGAGACAGACGTGGAGTGAGATGAGAGAGGTGAGACAGAGATGCAGTGAAACGAGAGAGATGGAGACAAGCGATCGAGATGGAGTTAGATATTTAAATAAATAAAAACAGACAAGATATGGACGAAACAGATTCATTTGGCTTTCATCGCTTTAGTTGGCTTTTTAATTATTCCGCTTTGAATTCGAGCTGATATTTTGTTCACCCATGTGTTTTTTTTTCTCTCCCATGAATCTGGGGCCCCTCAAGCTTGGTAAATAATAGCCAGACTGCCGCGCATATGCATTTGCTTAATTTTACTTTGCATAGCCATGCCAAGCGCCACCCCTTGCGATTCCCGCCTCAGTCGCCCCAAGATGACTTGCGCAATTCAATCGAAGATGGTTTGCTGGGCCCAGTTGGTTACATTACACTGTTTTGTGACCGATACCGGCATCATGGGCGTCATGTGATGTGGACTACGTGCTGTTTTTTTCTGCACCGTATTCTCCTCGTGATAACTGTGTCTCATTGCATAACATCCCAAAGCAGGGCCACAGAGCTGAGGCAACTATTGGCTCCGGTTTCAGGAATGCCTTATAATAATTTCAAATCGTAACGCGCCACGCAGTGTTCACTCACTCTTAAAGAGAGAGAATTTGACTCAGGGGTGCGAGGAACCACGAGCGAGTGCAAAAGCAGAGAGCCGCTGAATCTACGGAAACTGTGCTCGTAAAACATTTGGAGCTCTTACTTTAATTAGAAGGTGTAGACGTAGTTGTGCATAGTCGACTTAGAATGCATTCTCACTTGTATGAAATACATTTAGTCAACAACCTACAAAGGAGGTAAATACACTTTGATCCTGTTTAAGAAGTGGGATCATTTTCTTTTTAAATGACCTATAACGTTTCATTCATCCTGTTTATCATCATCAACCTTGATCAATCCACTGAAGCCCTCCCCAAATCCACCACCATCTCTGCAATATAATAATCCATCTACAACCTGCACATGAGCTGATTTAATCATTCCATCTCCTTGCCTCCTTGGTGCACGTCCTCTCGGACGCGTTCCATCCCTCGGCTAGCACTCCGTCATTATTCTTGACCGTCGGTCGTCATCCCTTCTAGCGATATGTATTGCACAAGCCCACTCACTGTAACGTCGTGTATCAGGTATAATGTCTTCATCCTGCACGTGTGTCCTCTAATCCGCGTATTCCTCTTTCCGTTTCTCCGCGCACTTTTCAGTTGTTGTTCCACATTTGTCGTTTGTGTCCATCTTTCTGATAGATATATATCTCATAGCAGGTAATATTCATTGATTAAAACATGATTCTGTAAGTACATTGACATGTTGCTTTTTATTATAAAGTTCAGCTTTTCAAAACATTCCAACCCGCTCTGGTCCATCTCTATTATTCATCAGCTTGATTCTGTTTTAGCCCATTATATCTCAATATATGTCCTTTCAGGGCAGTGTTTGTTCAGTTTGTATGCATATTCTGCTGTGTTTTCCAGTTGTATCTCTCCGGCAGATGTCATCCTCTTTCTTTTCCAAAATAACTGTTATTTGACTGAACAACACTTATTTTCATTTTAAAAAAACCCAGCCATCGGATGTGATTCACACGTCGACTTGCATATGACGCAAACGGGGAAACGAGGTTATGAGTAACCATACATGGCCTTGGCATGCATGCGTAACCCGCATGGCACTTTGTTGAACGCACTATCACACAAATGCAGGAGCCACAATTATATTTTACCATAAAAATGAATGGAAGGGATGCTTTCACGAGCTTTCTGTTTGGGAACAGCGGATCATGTAATTAGTGACCAAGGGTGCGATCCCACATGTTTGACACATTGATTCGTCAGGGACATTTAATCCTCGCAGAGTGCTCGAAGTGTTTTTGTTACATGAGCTCTGCCAAGACGGTGTGATTCACCAGGTTTCAATCGCATCCGTAGCCTTCTCTCTCGCGGGTATTTGTTATTCTTTTATCTCCAATAATATTCCAGCTGTGCTGAGAGAGTCAATGGCACAAGATGAAGAGACGTCGCTTTTACAACTCTCACAGAGTGCAGTATTCCCTCGTTCACAAACTTGCTATCCGCGGTTTTGGCTATCCGCGAATGGCATCTGAAACCCAACACGACTGCATCAAGAGAGAGAAAGAAAGTGATGAGATGAAGGTGAAGAGAGAGAAAGAGAGAGAGAGAATACTTCTCAGACGTTAATTCATCAAGAACATAGTTTTTCGTCGGCCCAATATCATCATCCGCAAAATGTGCTTTTCACGAGCATCTCCAGAACGTATCCCTGGAGCCACTGAAGCAGGCCTCTCAACACTAGGAGACTAAACTTCCTTTATGCCCAGCAGAGAGTGTAAGGTTAATATTAAAACCAAAATTGTATCCCTCGGAGCTTAAATTTGCCAAATTAAGTGGAAACCCCCCCCCCCAAAAGTCTAAGGGGAAACTGAAACTGGGTGGAAAACCCTGACTTTAAATTGAGCACAAGAAGCTGAAATAATGTACTGCTTCCTAGCAACTCGTGAGGACATTTAGCAATTCAAGTGTCCATGTGGTGTGTAGATGAGGCCAATCTATAGTGACTTGTCTGTTGGACAGCATACGACCTTCTCATGGCTTCAGTTCTAATGGGCCTCCAGACGTCCATATCTCGAGTTTTTTTTTAATATCTCTAGTTTTTAATTAGAGAGATGCCCCTATGTCCTCTTGGCAATCAAGAGGCTCAGCGTGATATCCTTTATTTAATAATCCCTGAACGCACTCGGAATGGGTAATGTCCCCTCTGAGGCGGATTTTTGTGTGGATATCGCACGATGGGCTGTTTGCCTCCCATTACGCTTATTTAATTCCCCCCCCCCCCCCACAATCACTAATGACGACGCAACAGATGTTTCAATGCATTGTCAACACGACTCATGAGAGAATACTGGGTGCCCCCACATCTGAAATTGGTCGTGCAGTGTGGATGAGCCTTAGGAATAAGTGAGATTGCAAAAAGAGAGCTTCCAGTTCACACCGCAGTGCACCCAGTCCCGGTTGTAGAACAGCGGTGCTTTTTATTTAACACGTAGGCCTTCGCGGCCAATGTTTATTCATAATAAAGGTTTTTTTTTTCGGTTAGGTCGAGCACATTTTAAATGTGACGTTAACCCACCACTACCCGACACAGCCAATCAGTAAGGTTCGTCACGGAAACAAAACGTGCCAATTAGTTACCGGTGTGTTGGAGAGTAAACCCGCAACATTTACAATGTGAGTACGACCTTCACTGGTAGATTACAACGAGCTTCTTCAGGCCTTTCACTGCACTAAATTCTGGACCGGCCGAACATATCTACGAAACGGCATCGTAAACTAAATTTTAAATAAACAAATGTAATGTGAACAAAGTAAAAAAAAAAAAGCTCTATATTTCTCATTTGTTCTAGAAATTTCACCCAACAAGTTAACTGAGTTGCTATTCTAGGCAAGCGACGTCGTCCGACGCTAGTGTCGCTTATTTTAGAGGTTCGCGGTTCGAATCTGTCGGCCGCCCTTGTTAATAATACAGGAATCCCCCACGATAAATATTCCGCATTATGCATTGTTTCGCATATACGTTGCTGATTGAGTAGGGGACATATTTCCTTATAAGTGTAATGTTTCGCATATGTGTTATTTTGAAAAATTGCGCAAATATTTTTTGCGCGCATTTTCAAAATGCTCCGCCTCCTTCTGCCAGCCCCGCCATTTCGCGTGGTCATTGCACACGTTCTTTCGTTCGATCATTCGTTCATTTCTCAGTTCGCTTGTCCTGGTGTAAGGTAGAAATATGGCGTTAGTTGATAGTTTAAAAATAAGTAATATTTTTTAAAAAAAAAATATTAAACACGCTTTAATGAAATGTACCGTACTATTAATGTAAAAACTCCACGACTCCAGGAAGTGGCCCCGAGGCTTGCCACAGCGTAAGGGCACCGTGGCGAATTACAGCCAACGTCAGTTGAGCGTGGACAATTAGACCCAAGCCGAAACTTAACATGTAAAAAAGATTGTTTAATTTTTTATGATAGAATATAGTATTGTCATCAGTATGACATAAGTATACCGAGTTTGCAGTCGATACCACATTGGGAAGTGGGTAGAAATTGAGTTACAACTTACAAGATTTGAGGTTACAACAACAACAGACAGTGAGTTAATAAAAAAGCGTGTAAATAAAATAGCACAAAGGGCTGACAAAGATGAGGACAAAGCGCCACAGTAAATGATGATTGTGCCTGTGGCAAGAAAAAGGCAAATGTATGAATCTCGCAGTAAAATTAGAAGGTTGAAAGTGTCGATGCAGCCAGGATGCTTGGCCTACCCACAACCTCAGTGGAAACTATTCAAGTGAATGCGGGGAACATTTCTAGAATATACCAGTTGTGAAATTCTCGAAAATATAGAAAGATTTTTAAATGTCTGGATTGAATTATCAAAATAAGCATAGTTCTTCAAGCCATCTCTGGTAAGTTCTATCTAATTGCTTGTATTTATTATTAGAAAGAACCAAGAAGATGAATCCCTGCAGTCACGAAAGCTTTAAATCGAAAGTTAAATGTAGGTTAACTTATAATTATCATATGCATTTTTGTACACTTCATGACATTTCATCACATGCATTCCCCCCCCACAAAAGTCAGCGAGGAACGCAACCCCTGACTTTAACACGATGTCTATGGGAAGTTAGAGTTCGCTTTTAAGACATTTCGATTTAAGTAGCATTTCCCCGGAACGCTTCCTGGGAAACGATTCCTGTATTGAGGTATAGTCACCGTAAAATATGTGCTGTCTGTCTCACGGTGGCTATTACATTTTGTGACGTGAATCGATAAGAGCAGGCAGGCCAGTGTGTGCTGTTGTCATGGTCCAAATTTGCTCAGTTAAAAAAAATCACACCCCCCTTCCATACTCAACGGCTGTATTCATTAGGCCCAATCTCAGCACTGGAGCATCTGAGCTATAAGCTCAGAGACGAGGAAGAAGAATACAACACGTGTATGGGGTCAATTCCTAAACCTTAGAACAGTCTTAATTACCTGAGCCCAGAATGGCAATGACCTGGACACCCCCCCCACCTGCTCCGATGAGTCCGGTGTGCCTGTTACCGTCGATGCAACTGGTTATACCGTCCAAAATGCGAGGATGTTGCAATGTATGATGTGAGAGATGTGGAATAAATAATATTTTATATATAGGAAAAGAAAATCACATGCAAATAACTCAATTGGGATAACAACATCGTCCCTACTGTAAAACTACAGCAGACTATCTCGGAAACCTAGCACCATTATAGCCTAGCCTAGCGCAATGAGAACGGTGTGAATTACAAATTTAACTGACTTATTAATTATTATTTTTAAAGCTTTCGTGACTGCAGGGATTCATATTATTGGTTCTTTCGGTAAAGTCACGTAGAAGGGAAACAATAAAATAATAAAAATATAAAAAATAAAATTCTCACGACGTTTCGACTGCAACACAAGCAATCATCATCAGGTGTAAAAACCACAGCAAGAAAATTTGAAAAAAGTGGCGTTTTTTTACGTTAGCACCACGGAGAGCAATTTGGCAGTTTGTTCAGATGGACGAGTCCATCTATGTTCGGAAAAGAGGAGGGGGGAGACGAAAATAATGGATGCGGTCTGAAAGCCACCATAAGCGTGAACAATCAATTAAGACCCGGAATGGTTTATAAAATCCTTCCAATGATTGCGAAGCCAGAATCCGTTTTCTCGGTTGAAATTGTCTTCGTGTTTGTATATGTGGATAGCCTCATGAACGAATCTCTCATGGTAGCCAGATGGCTTGCAAAGAACCTCTGTCTTGGAGAAGTCAATGTCATGTGAGCCTACTGAATTATAACAGTGATCTGCCACGGCTGAGGTGTTGGTCCTACCATGTTTTATGGCTACTTTGTGTTCACGAATGCGGTCCGAGACATGTCCTTTGGTTTCTCCGATGTAACTACGACCACAGAGGCAACTTAGTTTGTAGATGCCAGGATACTGTATGTCCGGAATCACATCTTTTACAGACGGAACCAGATCACGGATTTTATGTAATGTGTTGAATCGGACCTGGGTCTTGTGATCCCCGCAATGTAGGGTAAAGTGATGGTTTTGAAAGGCTCCTCAAGAGGGTCCTTCTTCATGGTTGGAGTGATAGCTTTGCGGATTGTGTAAGAACATAAGCGTAAGGTTGCATTTGAAGCTGTAAACCCCAAGCCTGAAGGCAACCACCGTGCAGCAGAATAATTGAATGTCGCGCTGTATAATACTTGTAAAGCATGTCACTATGATGGCTTATGGTAACATCAATACCTCTCGCCTTGCTCAATACAATTTCTTTTGACCTCTATACACAGGCGAGTCTGGCTATTATTTACCAACCCACCCGCACGCGCACATAACAGTACCATTTGTGTGCATTAAACTTGCATTAACCAATCTTGATTTGAAGCTTTCGTGACTGCAGGAATCCATACTCTTTGGTTCTTTCGGAAAAGTCACGTGGGTAGAACAATAATAGATCACGACGTTTCGATCGCAACACAAGCAATCGTCATCAGGTGCGACAACCACAGCAAGAACAAACTGCTGAAGTAGGCGAGAGATCTGCCGTGGCACGAGGTTATATAGTGTAGGCCTCGGCAGTAGGGGGGGAGAGAGAAGGGGGGGGGCAGAAAGTGGACCCCGCAGCAGCACCCGGGTCACTGGAGTAGAGATCGGAGAGAGATGCACAGAGAGAGAGAGCGAAAGACACATAGAGAGTCGGAAATAACAGCTGACATGGGCAGGTAGGATGGAGACATCACAGTCAGTTCAGACTTTACCTGGTTAATAACGTCCTCCTCAATGATTGCTCAGTTTGTACCCATCTTCTCGGTTGAAGTTGTGTCTGTGTTTATATATCTGGATGGCTTCATGAACAAATGTCTGATAATAGTCGGTGGGTTTGCAGAGTACCTTCGCCTTGGAAAAGTCACGAAATTTCCACGGTGGTCCACTCTACTTCAGTGACCCAGGTGCTACTGCGGGGTCCACTGTCTGCCCCGCCCCCTTTCTCCCCCCACCTCCTCTCCACCCCCCCCCCCTACTGCCGAGGCCTACTATATAACCTCGTGCCACGGCAGATCTCTCGCCTACTTCAGGCGTTTTTTTCTTGCTGTGGTTGTCCCACCTGATGACGATTGCTTGTGTTGCGATCGAAACGTAGTGATCTATTATTTTTCTACCTACGTCACTTTACCGAAAGAACCAAAGAGTTTGCATTAACCAGTTATGCTTGGGTTTCATTCATTGTGACACATTTCCTCCTTATCAGCCAGCCTCGGTGTAGGCGGGAGAATATCCTGGTAGTATCGGCATGTTGTTGCCGATTGGTTGATCTGTAGA